AGGGGCATCTGCACTCCTGTGTTCTCTATATCATCATTGAAAATATCTGAGAAAAAGAAACAACCCAAACATCCATCACTGCTATACAGGTTTATATGTATATATTATATATTTGTATACATATAATATAAATGTATATACAAAATATTATATATTTGTACACATGTATTACAATATGAATATATACACATATGTATATATTCATTCACATTATATATTATCTTGTATATAATATATGGAGTAATATATATACTATGCTTTTTACATACAATATTATATATAATGTACTATAACAGATATACATATTATGTATGTGTGCATATATATCTTAAACTTTTCCTTAGCACTGCTGTTGTTTGAAGTCAGAGGCTTGCAATTGGTATGCAGCAGTAACACCACGCCAACAATCCACCCAGCCCTTTTGGAGTTTGTGATTTTTTTTGGGGGGGGGGGGGGGTCCGGTGGTGAGGCCTGTACTCTGGGCCTGGGCGCTGTCCCTCAGCTCTTCAGCTCAAGGCTAGCGCTCTACCACTTGAGCCACAGCGCCACTTCCAGCTTTTTTCTTTTTGCTTATGTGGGGCTGAGGAATCCCCAGGGCCTCATGCATACAAGGCAAGCACTCTACCACTGAGCCACCTTCCCAGCCCAAGTTTGTGATTTTTTGAAAGGGAATTTGAATGTATTCCTGAAATGACCTAAACAATCTTCATCCAAATTCCTACCACATTCAGCACAGAAACAAGAAAGACAATCCCATAACTCACAGAAAAAAAGAGAATCTCCTATTTTTCAAAGCTTTCCACAGGCAAACAACCAAATGCTGAACTAATGTGTCACTAGCTTCCAATTATACTTGAGAGCCATAATAACATAAAAACTGCACATTCATAAATACAGACACCAAAGAAATAGGAGACCTACAAATACTCCCAATTAAGTACATTCATCTAATTCATACAGACATTGTCCAATCCTACATTGTTGGAAGATAACACCCTTAGTAAGGGTGGCACTGTGAAAAATGAGTATCCATATGAAAAATGCTTAGGCTAGATCTTACCTTTCAGATTTTACAAAAGGATAAAAGTCAAAATTCATCACAATTCTTAATAGGAAATTTGAGGATTGGAAAATTGCAGATAACATCATAATATAAATACTTCAAGATATAGACACAGGAATGCTTGCTGGTAAGATACAAATACTTCATAAAATAATAGAAAAAGTTATGCTCTTGACTGGGCATGATGGTGGAATCATTTGTTTCACTCACAAGGCAAAGAATCCCATCCTCAGCACAGTTTACAAATGTGATTTCATGAAATTGAAGTTTCAGACAGCCTGGCATTGAGATGTACACCTGCAATTATTACAGTTTAAACCCAGCCTGGACAGAAAAGTAATGTGAGACATCTCCAATGAACCAGCAGCACAGTGAAAGTGCAGCTATGATTCTATTGGTAAAGCACCAACCTTGAGCAAACATATCAAGAGTACTGGCCCCAAAATTTAAAAGAAATTAAAGTTTTAAGGAATCAGTGCAACAAAAGAAATATTTTCATGAGGTGAAAACACAGCCAAATAAATGGCTGAAAACCTATGTTACCTATTCATATGATGGGGCTTTATTAACAAAATGACACTGAAATTTAAACACCAGGACAACAAAGAATCCTACCATGAAATAGGAACATGAAGTGAAAGACTTTTTTCAAATGAAAAAAGACAAATAGGAAATCAATACAGAAAAGATATCAAACCATTATACCAATCAGCACAATTCAAACCAAAGGTATTCTGAATTGTCTTATCATGTAACTCAGAATGGCTATCATCAAAACATAAAATTACAAATTTTTGTGAAGATGTGTAGAAATAAGAAGCAATGAAGATGCCAGGGGATATTAAAAATAGAGCTGATATTTGACACAGCTATATCACTTCTAGCTATCTACCCCAACATATCAAGCTCAGGTATCTATATGAATATATGTGTAAACATGGATGTTATTGTATACAAACTATCCAATTTATGGAATAACTCAGGATGTCCAAGAAGAGATGAATGGATAATATAAGTGTTATATATATGAAGTTGAGATTTCCTCAGCCCCAATGAAGAATGGAATCACAATATTTGCTAGAAAATATATGGAAATGGAGATCATTCTGTCAGGCAAAGTAAACAAATAATGAGTACAAATACCATATTTTGTTTCCTATCATATTAAATGAGATAAGCCAGACCCAAAGAAACATAGGCTCCACGGTTTCCCTCGTTTGTAATAATAAGTCCAGGATAGTCCTGGCAGACTATCATAATAGCTCAATAGCTACGTACTTATGACCATACAAAATGATGATAATTGAAATTAATTCCAAGGCAAGTAAACAACAGGACTTTTTTTAGTTGTTGACTTTGTTGTCACCAATGTACTGTATCAGTTCTTTCTTCTTATTTTATTTCATTTTTATTTTTCTATTGGTTTATTGTTGTTGTCATTGTATTTGATTTTGGTACCCTGTGTCTTGTATATACATTTATCTGATTTGGGGAAAGGAAGGAGAATAACAAAATGCTGAAACAAGGACGCAGGATGACCCATTTCAACAATGATACTCACAAGACACTATGTCAGAAACTTTACAACTTTGGGGGTATGGAGAAAAGTGGGGGAGGGAAGGGATAGTGGGAGACAAAGGAGTGGATAATAATGTTCTATAAGAAATATACTCATTACCTTACTCATGTGATTTTAACTCTCTGTAAAGCATAGTTACAATAATATTAAAAAAGAAACATCTCAGTAAGAAACATTCTTAAAGAAACTAGCCCAGGGCTGGGAAGGTGGCTCAGTGGTAGAGCGCTTGCCTTGCAATGCATGAAGCCCTGGGTTCGATTCCTCAGCACCACATAAGCAAAAAGAAAAAAGCCAGAAGTGGCGCTGTGGCTCAAGTGGTAGAGCACTAGCCTTGAGCTGAAGAGCTGAGGGACAGTGCCCAGGCCCAGAGTTCAGGCCCCACAACCGGACCCAAAAAAAAAAGAGAAAAAAAGAAACTAGCCCAAAGATACCTGTAGAGATAACCAGAGTAACTGTAGGATAATTATGCATGTACCAATTTATTTTCTTGGATTTCTCTTTCAAAAAAAAGTCTTCAGAAGTAAAATGTTCTGCAAAGACTGAGAAAAATAGATAAAAAGTGAGTAAATTACAGATATGGGAGGAGAAACAGGATGTTTGATGAGACAATATATGGTTACAAATAATGGGGGTGATGACAATCAAAATACATGACATACTGTATAGAAACAAAGAAAACAGACAGTTATTGAAAGTACCATATTGTAATAAAAATTGAAAAATATTGCCATAACATCTACTGGTGTGGCATTGAGTTAATCTCTTTCTCACAGTGACATCCAATTGCCTTGCTGCATTTATCTGTATCAAGGACTTCATATATGACACATAAAGACCTCTAACTAGTAACAAACATTTATTTGATAAACTGGATCATAGGATAATAAGGCCAGATTTCTCTGATTTCCACAGGAGCCCTTGCATATCTTTAAGTAGCTGAGAAACATCCATCAGCTTCAACCTTAAGATTGGATGTGTCTGTATAAGTGCACTAAAAAGACACTAAATATATTTTTTATATTTTTATTGTAAAGATACTGTACACAGGGGTTACAGTTACATGGTTAAGGTAATGAGTACATTTACTATCAAACATTGTTACCCCCTCCTTTGTCCCCTACTATCCTCTCCCCACCACCCCATCTCCTCCCCACCGAAGTTGTAAAGTTCACTTTCAACATATTGTCTTGTACATCTCATTGTTACAATGGGTCTATCTGTATCCTTGTTTCAATATTTTGTTATTTCCTTTCCACTCCCCAAATTAGACCAATATGTATACAAGACGCAGGACACTGGAACAGTGAAAACAGGGGTAATAACATGGGGGAAGAACCAAAAATCACAGAGCACATTGTAAGTACATTAAAAACAACAGCAACAAAGATAAAACCTCTGTGTCCCTATTTTAAAGGTATTAAGGGAATGAAAAACAACTGAACATGGAAAAGTAGTGGAACATAAGAAAAACAAGGGTGTGTAGCTCAGCAGCAGAATACCATCCTGGCAAGCACAAGGCCCCAAGCACCACAGAAAAAAAAAGCTGCCCATAAGAAAGACAAATATCTAGGGATGGCATGAAGGATAAAGACATTTACAACTATATTCTAAAGCAGTGAAAGAATTCTTGATCCTATCATCTCTGCCTCCAAATGCATCCAGCCACCTGACAATCTACTCTTGTATCAGCACTGGAAAAGAGGTGGGAGCTATTGCTATAGGCAGTGACATTCTGTTGCAATAGGAATCAAATTGCCTGCTAGAATTTCTCCTTAGTCATTTATTACTGAGACCCTCCCCCGCAATCCGAAACCTGAGTGTGCACACGGGTGCACAAGGAAAGCAAAACTCTTGTTGAGCAGATATAATTCTCTCACTGAGGGTAATCCAACTGGTGCCTTGCCCGGCACCACCTGGATCATGCTCTGAATCTGATGTTTACTTATTTAATTATTACACAGTGCTTGGTTTTAAAACAATAAAATGCATGTCTACAAAGTCATCAAAATATGTCAACCCATATGTACAAAAGAAAACTTCTCAGACCACTGGCCTGTGGACAAGGAAGTGTATCTGCCTCCTTTCACTGCAGAACTCGTGCCACTACCTCAGGTTGTTTGTAATAACATCACTTTATCCTTTGCAGAGACAGCTGTGATGCAGGAGATACAGTGATTATGGAATAAAGTGGAGAGCTTATGACCTTGGAAAGGAGAAACTACATGGAAAGAAAGCAGAGTCCTCTCTTTGGGGAAGAGGATACAGAAAGCATGATTGTGAGCCCCAGAGTTTCCTCGAACATTCCCAACCTAAGAACAAAAGATTAAGTGGAACTAAAACTATGGAGGTATTACTTACTGCTTCTTTGCTTCATCAAGGGAAGAATCACTGTTACTGTGATCTGTTCCCAAAGTGTAGAGAGGGAAGAACCCAGCAATCATCACATCTCCATCCATGTGTGCCCTGCGCTTCATTCTAGAAAAGCAGGCAGTGCCTTCTAAGGAGCTGACAAGGAGTGGAAGCTGGAGCAGAAGGAGTGTGGAAATCAAAGGAAACATCATTGAAGCATTTGCCACACTGGAATTCTGGCTGGAAGTGAAGCCCATGGAATCAGGAGGAGATATATAGCTTGTATTTGTGTCTATGTGTATATGTGCCTTTTTGTTAGCAGGGATGTCTACTCAGCTGTCATTGCAACCTTCAGCATTTCCCAGTAGGAATTTGGAGAACTCTCAGCCCTGAGGTTCTGCATCTAAGGCCCAGCAACCAGGAAATAAACACAAGTTGGAAAACATGTTTTCCAGTTGTCCTCTCCACTCCAGGTGCTATGATTTCATCCAAGACCACAGAGATTGAGACCCCTGGGATAAAGTTTTCTCGTTAGATTTGGTCACAAGCCTGGAGTAGCAAATGATTTGTATGAAATCTATTAGATATGATGCAACTGGAAAGCATCAATAGATGCCATGTCACATGAAAGGTGAGATGTTTCACAAAGGTTCATGCCAAGGAGATATCAACCCAGCTCTTTAGGGCATCACACTCAGAAGATATCTCACACTCCCAATTTCCAAAACAGCCACAGAACACTGCTGATTGACCCAGGCCCATTTCAATAAGAATCCCACGCAGAAGTCTCCACAAATGCATTAATCTGTGATTGCCTGGAGAATGAATGATCTTGTTGAATTTAGTAATGGCCCATGGTCAGCGCAGAAATTGAGCTGCAGAATTTTATCCTGAACTTTGACCTTCATAATTAGCAATACCACTGGACTTGCTGAGTACATGGATCAATATACTGCCATGAAGCTTTGACACACCCACCATCTTGGGTGTTTTATTTATGCTTTTCTGAGAAATATGGCTGTTCAAAAAACTCTTACTCCCCTAAAAACCATATATACTATACTTCTTACCACCCAAATATATTAGACATAGAATCTAAGCAAAGCTCTCAATAGCACTATAGCAATGGCTCTAAAGTGCAATAAATTTATTCTATTCCAGGCTATTCTGTTGAACGTATTCCTGTATACACTTGTCTGTAATCCTAACATATGGGGCAGAACAGAAATTGCATGTGAACATAAATTAAGGTCAGAATAATGTCATGGTTTGTTGATGTTGATATGTTTTCTGCCATGGACCACATTCGTTCAACAAGCCACTTTTAGGGCAAACTATGGAAATGTAGTTTATGGGATTCACAGAAACTTTCCAAACTTTCTATTCAATTCTTTTGAAAAATTAATGGGGATCTGAGCAAACTTGTCACTCTAGTGAGAATACCCAATTTGCTAATGAGGTTGCTTCTGGTCTTGATCATCTTAATATTTGTGACAATAAATAGAATTTTAACACTTAGTTTAATACTCTTTAGTAATATCTACTCATTGTAGAAGTTTTCATTTGGACATTTCTACACTACATGCAATTTGCTCTGATGAGCTTCAAACCCTCCATGATACTGTCATCCACTTCTCATATTAAAACAATTTTAGGGCTGGGAAGGTGACTCATTGGTAGAGTTCTTGTCTTGCATATATGAAGCCCTGGGTTCTATTCCTCAGCATCACATAAGCAGAAAAAGCCAGAAGTGGCGCTGAGGCTCAAGTGGAAGAGTGTTAGCCTAGAGCTGAAGAGCTGAGGGACACTGCCTAGGCCCAGAGTTCAGGCCCCATGCCCGACGGAAAAAAAAAAAAAAACATCAGCGCGTTTCATTTTTCCATTTTCATACATGTATATTAAGTGCATTGACTTTGGTCCACTTCCTTCACTGTCTCCATTCACTATCCCCCACCTCTACATAATGCCCACAATTGGATACAATCTCAATTACACGTCTGTCCTTCATTTTAATGTGTAATAACTGTTAGAAGGGATCTGATGTCGGTCTGAGAAGGTGGCTCAGTGGTAGAGCTCTTGCCTTGCATGCTCAAGGCCCTGGGTTCGATTCCTCAGCACCACATAAGCAAAAGGAAAAAAAAGCCAGAAGTGGCGCTGTGACTCAAGTGGTAGAGCGCTAGCCTTGAGCTGAAGAGCTGAGGGACAGCGCCTAGGCCCAGAGTTCAGGCCCCACGACTGGACCCCCCCCCCAAAAAAAGAAGGGATCTGATGTATATTTCACACCTGATTATACTTCAATCTCATTATTTCCACGTATTCCTCCCTCTTTCCTCACCTCCCCTACCACCTGTTATCCAAGAGATTACAGTGAGTATAGTTGTGCCATCTTCAGCATCTCTGTCATGTATTTTGTTATTACTCACTCTTTAAATTCTATCTTCCTCTTCCCTTCATCATAATATTCTCATAATTATACAAATGTTTGGGTGTGGGGGCCCTATATACATATATGTCTGTCTTTAGATCTAGCTTCCACATTTGAGAAAAAACACAAAACTTTTGCCTTTCTAAACCTGGTTCACTTCACTTAGCATGACAATTTTAAGTTCTGTTGATTAATATACCAATAAAATGACTTCCTTTTTCATTGTCATTAAGCAATGTGTATATAAATCACATATTCTTTAATAATATTCTGGAAAGCATTGAACTATTTCCATTATTTGACTATTGTGAATATTTCTGCAGTATACTTGGGTGTCCAAGTGTGACTATTGTACCTTCACTTACATTCTTTTGAATATACAGTTTAGTGTAATATAACTGACCTGCATAGGAGGTCTACTTTTAGTTCTTTGAGAAAACTCCATATTGATTGATATAATGGTAGCATGAATTTACATTTCCATGAACAGTGTATAAGTGTTCGCTTCCCACACATTCTAACTAGCATTTGCTGTTATGAGTATTCTTCATGCTAGTCATTCTGACTAGAGTGAGATAAAATTCAGGGTAATTTGGATTTGCCTTTCCTTCATGGCCACAGATATCGAGCATTTTTTCATGTGCTTATTGGCCCTTTGACTTCTTGTTTTGAAAAGAATCTTTAAATTAATTTCTCAAATTGTTGATTGGGTCATTTATTCTTTAGGAATGTAGTTTTCTGAGCTTCCTATTTATTTAGGGTATTAATTGCATTTGAGCTAAATAGTTGGCATCTTTTTAGTTGATGACTTTTTATTTACAGTGTGAAGAGTTCTCGGTTGATGCAACCCTATCTGTCAATTCTTGTTCTTATTTGCTGAACTACTGAATTTCTATTCAAGAAGTTACTACCTACCAAAGGTTCTATTTTTCCTTCATCTCTAATATTGTTTCAATATGTAGTTTGAATATGTCATGTTGAAATTAAGACCTGGAGATGGACAAACAAGAAAAAGTCACAATTTAATATATCGTAAGAGAGCTATCTATAGTGTCCAAGAGAAGCTAGCCATAACTGTGGCCATAGGGAGAGAAGGTTTGATGTCAATAAGTGAAGAAGTTGGATAAGCACATGTGATCCATTTGTGGACATGCATGTGGGATCTTTGCAGGCAGACATACATGCCTTGTCCAGACTAGAAGGCTCCATACAGCCAGCAATGACTTCCACTATTCCCAGAAGAGAAATTTCTAAGTTAGAAACATTTTTTCCAGCTTATTATTTTTATTTTTTATTAAATTTTTTCTAGTTAATTGGAGAGAAGAGTCTCATGGACTTTCTTGCCCAAGCAGGCTTCCAATCAAGATCCTCAGATCTCAGTCTCCTGAGTAGCTAGGATCACAAGTGTGAGCCATTGGCTATATTATTATTATTATTGTGAAAATATCATACAGAGGGGTTACAATTACATGGGCAAGATAGTGAGTAAATTTCTTATCAAGCATTGTTACCTCCTCCTTTGTTTCCCCATACCATCCCTTCCCCTCTCCACCCCTCACCTCCACACCCCCTACCACCACTCCCACCCCCCACCCCCACCCTCACCCTGCCAAAGTTGTAAAGTTCATTTTTCGACATAACATCTTGTACATCTCATTGTTGTAATGGGTCCACCTGTAACCCTATTTAAATAGTTTGTTTTTTCCCTTCCCCTCCACAAATTATATCAACATCAAATACAGTGAAAGTAGGGCTTATACCCTGAGGGAGGTACATACAAAGCAACAAAGAAATTACCTTATAAATATGTTGGAAACAATCACAAGAAAGAAAAAATACATTGAAATCCTTATCTTGGGGTTCATTTCACCTAATATCAACTTGTCTGACAGTTTCTGTTTGTCTCAGACATATACTAGTTATCCATTACATGTATTTAAGAATTAATAGTATATTAAACAAAGTTTACAAATTCTTCACAATCACTGATATGTAATCTAGTACCTCCCTGTTAAGTAATGAGAAAAAAAAACAGAAAAGAAATTTACATATGATCTCAGTAACACATGGAAGGAATTAAATTTTCCCAGCATCATTCCATCTATACTTTAAAATCCTCGAGGCCATTTTGAGTATCAGAGAACACAACATTGGCATTTTAACCAGGGGATCCCTGAGAGTTTTTACCTAGTGTTTCATAAGTGAACTTCACTTGTGGAGATTGTTGAGTACCCAAATATGTCTCACCTAGTATGAAATATATTCCATAGATTTCTTAAATGCTGAAGAAAATGTGCTGTGAACCTTCAAGGTTCATAAAGGAAACATCCTCATCATGTGAGCTTCTCCTCTATGATAATTTATTTAATGGAAAAGCAGGTTACCATCTCTTCAGAATATTCTAAATCCTATCCAATGAAAAATTTAAAAGGTAACTTTGAGATGTGTATACACATATGTATATATATCCCTACTAATATATATTTTCTCATGGACTTTTGCAAGGTACCATTTGATTATTTAGAAGAGGCACCTAAATTCATGTATTCATCAGTATAAAAGAGCTTTTATCATTTACTTACCATGTCTTCTACATTGTTGTGTAAAAGTATGAACACATGTTTAAAAGTAAATTATTCTAAGTCCTTTAGTTTATTTTCAACACATAATTAATCACCATGAACATATTCATCAAAATTTTTATATCAATGTAATATCAGCTGCTGTGGAACTTGCATAATTTTTCTCTAAAACACTTTTTGTGGATTTCTGATGTTCAATGTTTTCCATTTGTTTCATCCAGCCTTATTCATTAGCCTACATTTTCTTCTT